ATAAAATTTTAAAAAATCAATAAAAATTTTTAAATATTTGAATTTCATACTTGAAATAGGTAAATTAGATAGCATATAAATTACACCTTAAAACTGCTTTGAATTTTTTTCATTTATTTTTATTTTATGAGTGTTATGCCTACATGTGTGTAAATGCACCTGTGTTGTACAGTGCCCACGGAAGACAGAAAAGGGCATTGGACCCCCTGGAACCACAGTTACAGATGGTTGTCAGCCACCATGTGGGTGCTGGGATTTGAATCCTGTCTCTAGGAAGCTGAGTACTGATAAGGCTGGGTGGCAGAACTGGGGTCTAGAGCCACATAGCCTGACATCCATACTGTTCTCATCTGGTGTGCTGTCCCTCATAGTGGGTTTCACCACGATCCCATTCCCCATATATTCTCTGGGAAAAAACCGTGACTCCTGCCCAAGACCTGTCTTGGTGACCTTGGACTTTCCTAAACCAAAGTCAGACCTGCTAAAAAAAATGGGGCTGGAGAGATGGTTCAACACTTAAGAGTACTGATTTCTCTTGCAGAGGACCTGGGTTCAGTTCCCAGTACCCACATGGAGACTCACATCTGTCCTAACACTAGTTCCAGGGGATCCGATGGTCTCTTCTGGCCACCCATGGGAATTGCATACATGTGATGGACTTATACACATGCAGGCAAAACATTCATACACATAAAATTAAAATAGATACAATATTTTTAAAAATCCTTCTTGGTGCTCATGGGCCACAGAGTGATGGCCTCACAGCATTCTCAGGCAGGCCCTCTCCCATGGCTTCTGCTCACCTGTCCCAGCCTCAGTGTCCCCTTCCTCACAGCCAACCTGAGCTGTTTCCAGTCCCCTTCACCTCCTGCCTCTGTACCTTTGTGCATGCTGTGACTCTGGCTGGAAGACCTTTCCCTCTGCCACACAGATACACTCCATGACACTTCAAGGTCCACATGCCTACTTTTAATTGAAGAAGCCAACTGGGGCCTGAGCCATGGTTGTACCCGCCTCTCCTGCTTGCCAACACAGATGGCCTCTTCTCTGGGTCCTGAGTGCCAGCAGCCCAGCCCAGAACAGAGGCCAGCAGGCCTTTACAGAACAATGACTAGACCAATAGAGCAGGACCTAGTGATTGTGTGAAAGGTACCAAGGCCTTTATCTCTCCATCTCACACTGGTTCCTGAGGATGGCCTGATGACAGGGCGGGACATACCAGGCTGAGCCCCAGTCCTATAGGGCCTAGTAAGGCTCTATGCTGTTCAATGTCCCTCTAACCTGACTCTACCACAGTTCTCTGGTCTCCAGACTTCTGGCATCAGCTGAAAAGGTTGCCCTTGGACTTGAAAACTGAAAGAAGGGCAAGTAGATGAATCTCCCAGCCTGAGGAGCCTCTTTCCATCACCCCTCCTGCCCATATATTCCTAGCCCTGAGCCTTTGCTGACACTGTGCTCTCTCCTCTGACCTCCATCCCTGCAGTGAAGGGGACATGTCTGGACAACAAGTAAAAAGGTCTGAACTTGGGTTTTAGGTTTTGGTGGAGGTGTGCCAAACGCAGGGCAGAGCAGTGATAAGGGTCCCTGCTGATAGGTGCTGGGCCTTGGATGGTAGTCTTGCTACCTTGGCCATCAGAGTGAGAACAGAGCCCCAAGTCCTGGCCATATGCCCACAAGGTCACTATGTAGGCAGGCAGCCCAGCAAGATGACTCCATGTAGGTAATGAGTGTTTCTCTCTTTCCCTCCTTCCCAGAAGTGCCTGGAAGAAATCAGGACAGGCAAGCTGAGATGATGAGGTATTAGAAGTCACTTCACAGAAAGCGAGGTGGAGAGAAACAAGGAGTAGGCAGAGACAGCAGGGCAGACAGAAACTGGAGCCGTGCCACCAAGCATAGAGGTCCTTTTCTTGCCATTCCCCACTGGCCTCTGCCTACGCCTCTTTTCTTCCTTTC